AGTTTAGTGGTAAAATGTACTCGACCAATACTATGTTCAGTATCATGATACCGTATGTTTGTTCCGATTGTAAAGTAGTAATAAAGTTTATTTATAAGTAAATAATGTAATATTTGACCGTATGGTCTCGGCATAGAATAGGCCACCACTTCCTTTCCCATGGGTGTCATAACAGTCAACCAAAGGAGGGCAGGGATGGGCAACAGCGTCCCTTTTAAAACATCTCTAAAGCCTGACGGCGGTTGCCAATCCGCCTGTCAAGCGTGGCAACTACTGACAAAAGGTTCTAAGTTAAAGGCTGATATGATATGATGAATGTAATATTACTTTCAACTTGCGTACAATTACTACTTTATTAATATACGAGTATAAATGTAAAAGTTTATTTAAAAATATTTAAAACTTCATAGATTAAGTAAAACTTAATCATAAATTTATAAACGACTAAATAAATTTGTTGTGGTACACTTATACATACATCTATATGGTCTATATCTTAGATTAATCCTTATTCATCCGAGTTACGCCGCGGACTACGAGCAAATAAAAAAAAAATAATAATTTGTAAAGAAAAATGAGGCCGCGATAAAGACTCCGACATTACAAACATAAAACACAAAGCCTGTCAATTCGCGAACTTCATTCATTCGTTCTGTGTTTCAATCTAAAATAATTTTATACAAAATTAGTCTTCATCTAATAAAACCTTTGAGAGAATATTATTTGACATTGTGCATCGTAATGAAACAATATTGCTATTTCTGTTTCCTTTGTCAAATTTTATTATTTTCCAATACTTTTCTGCTAGATAGACATTCAACTTTCCATGGAATCACAACCAGATTCTAATTTCAGAAATTTACAAAGCATACTAAGTAAGAGACAAAGCTTTGAGAATTTGTTATTATTTATTATAAATAAATAAAACCTAGCAACCCAATAATACTATTCGTTATAATTGAATATATAGGAAACATTTTAAATTAATTTATTTAAATTATTTTTATATTATTTATATTTTTAATATTCAAACAGTGAGATGTACGTATACTTAGATACAAAAAGTTTTGATTATAAGTTATTTTGCCCTAGTGACAAAAATAAAGCAGATTTTTAAAGTCTGGCAAATCTAAATATAATTATCTGGGTCACTGTCATTATCTCAATTTAGTTGAATAAAATGGTCGAGTAATGAGCAGCACCGCCCCTCTTAAAACATCATCGAAGGCTCACTGCGGTTGCCAACTCGCCTACCAAGCGCGGCAACTACCTACTGGTAAAACCCCTCTTGACGGAGGAGGCGTATGTTCAGCAGTGAACAGTTAACGACTGATAGAATGATGATGATTACATCCTACGGTAAAGATGCTGGATTTCTGCATTTTTATTACACGTTGTTTTTGTCTATAATTAAGAATTTTTTAGTACCCATATACATACAATACAATACTGCTGCTGCTGAAATTATCACTCGCTTTTATAATATAGAAATAAAAATTATATGTAGAGTACAGTAGACAATATTTTAGATATTTTTAAAACATTGCGGAATTTCTGGCAACCGATCCCTATATCTGGCAAACATAAAACATTCTTCCTATATATTTAATATTTAGTTATTAAAAAATTTGTTTCAATTCTAAAGGCTTTCACAGTAGCGCAGAGTCTAAATATGACGGATAACAAATGTTAATTAATGTATTTAACTTTGAATATACTGTTCATTGGAGTTTTAATGTTAGGAAATCTTGTTGGGAAAATTATGTTGTAAATCAGCCTATAGGCAGAGGAAGTTTCTTACAACCACCTAAATCTAGGTACAAACCTAACTAGATAGAAATAAATAATGAAAGGAGTTACGTTAATTTTACCTTTAAAATTTTCAACCAATATTCACCGCCAGAGAATTGGCAGAAATCCAATCCCAGTAATAATTTGCTAATTTCACAACTCGATCCCTTTGTTAGTAGCTAAGAGCTCGCCTTTTACCTCTTGCTTTTGTTTTGTTTACCGAGTAAAACAGAAGCCGATTGTTTATATTGAATGAATGGTTCTGGAGTTACTTACAAGAACGCCCAGAGTTGAATAACAAAAATTACTCCGCCGACATCTTCACTAACATCAGTGATTCCATGAAGAATATTATCATATTCGTCTGCTTAACAATAAAATAAAATCATTTTGTTTATCGTCTTTCTATTGTGGTATGGCTTCCCCTTAATGTCACTTAAATTACGAACTGTTTCCCACAGCCTCGTATCCTACGAATTCCATTATTTCCAGTTCTCGTGGAAATTTCGGGAAATCGCTTCTAAGTGCTCATATGCATTAGCATGATTTCCCCGAAAATCATAATAATAGTAATCTATTATTATTATTTTTCTTATTTTCCTTGCCAAAAAGTCATATTTCTAAACGTACAGTTTCAGTTGTTCAATGATCAATGATATAAGGTTTAATGTAGTATCAATATGATTGAGTGACATGTTATTTGTGAATTATTTTAAAATCTTTTTGGCTTGCTATACGGAACCGTAAAAATAAATGTTCTAAACAAGAAACTTATCATGGTTCGTAGCATCTTCCATGGAAAAGCGGAAGTAAGCACAAGTATTCAATAATAATCAGCACTACACAAAGAAACGTGAGTGTATCACTATACATGTGTTTTTATATACAAAAAAGTAATATTGCCACAACAATTTTTTATGCAGATACATATCTGCTTAAAAAATACATGCACATGTATCTAATTTTTATGGAACTTAAAATAACAATAAATCTTACATCCCACCTAAATGAACAATATTAATAATCGGAAAGATATAAAATATTCTTAAAAACAAATTGCTACAATTTACATAATATGTAATAAATATCTAGTAGCGCTAGTAGACTGTCGTATGCTTATTTGTAGACGATACTAGATGTTATCGGAAATGAAATACAAATCGTTAGTGATAGAATACAAACATCTTGTAGGTTTTACTAAGAACTCGATAAAAGGGCTGGTTCTGAAGCGCCAGTCCCTAAAACTAATGTTAAAATATAAAAAAGATAGGTAGATAGATACTCTTTGTTTCCTCCATAAGATTACAATAATAAACTTATTATAAATATAAATAATTACAAGAAATAATCACAATGAGAAAACAATGGGCGACCTTATCGCTAAGAGCGATCTCTTCCGGGCAAGCTTAGGATGGAGAGGAGTAATTATAAACAATTTGGTGGGAGGCACGATGAAAAATTTTGTTAGTTCTAAATATGGGAGATGTGATACATATAATAATATAAATATATACTCGTAATACAAGTATGTGACTTATAAATAATTAATTAACAATTACTATGTAATAAATAGCTCTACACAGCTATTTCAAAGGTTTTCCCTAGAGACTACAGCATGGAGTTATTCAAAAAGGGCGTAATATGGTTTCTTAAAGGTCAGCAATGCGCACGTGACATCCCTGGCAATACAAGTGTGCATAGGCTCCGGTAACCCCTTTACCATCATACGACCGATATGCTTGATTGCCACTATAGTAATATAAAAAAAACATGATTATACAGCAAACAAAGTGTTAATGAAAAATTTCGTTGTTTGACAACAGAACAAACAACGAAATCTTCGGCACTAACACGAGTGGAACTATAATGTGTCGCTCATAATACCACTCATGCGTTGCCATTCTTGAGGACTGTGTTATGCCTCCGTACCTTGTAATTTCATTACCATATCGCCTATATCACCCTTATTATTTTACCATTCAAACTATTATATTACCCTTCAAACCGAAATACAATCATGCAAATACAACTGTTTCACGCCAGAAACACGAATGGGACAGAGGTACCCAAGCAGACAACTTTTGTACAAAGCCACCCTCTGGTTAGCCTATGTTTTAGCGGCAATTTGCAGGACAGTTCAATTTAATCATAATTATTGTAAAATAGTAAATAAATCTGTGACGATCTTACTACATTTATTTTCTTTAGATATATATATATGTACTTAAAGTAATAAAATAAAATAAATTTACTATAATAATCTATAGATTTAGGCATATAAATTTACAAAAAACTTATTACACCGATTAAGCAATGTTTAATCACTTAATATTTTGTTAAACACTGTTTAGGTAGACTGCGTTTTATTTTTATAGAAAGAGCGTGAAGTTTTAAGCGCTCATAATAAGTCGCCAGGTCAGAAGTAACATGGGCAACACGGGCGTTACTGGAGTGGGCGGCGGCGGCGTCTGCGAGGCGCAACAGGCGCCCCGCCCCGCGCAACAGGCGCCGCGCCCGACTTGTTGAATCGACCGACCTACTAACGTTACCATGAAGACGCCAAACGAAAAATAGCCGAATGGGACGGGTGTAACGCACTCACGACACAGGATACGGCGACGAGATATTGGCGATAATGTAAAGGAAATAGGTGAAGGTGGGTTCCATTATGATTTCTTGATTATTAACAATTATTATTATATTTCATGAAACATACATATTATACAAAAAACAAAGGTTCTCAATAAATTTATTTTGTTTAATTTAAAAGTTTTTATGTTCAATGCCAACACAAGCTCTCACAGACACGTATAAAGGCGCGCGCGCGCGCATTCACACTCATCACAAAAGCGCGATCTTATCAAATATTCAATAGAAAAATAATTTTAAACAATCCGACTGAAAGATATTTCCAAATTCCTTTACAACTGACGTAGTCAGAGAGTAAAATACTTAAAAAAATACAATCGAATTAAGAACCTGCTTATATTGAAAATTAGTCACTCTGAAACACGTTACAAAGTTTTTATAGTCCATAGAATTAAAAACCTTAACATCATATGGGGGAAAACCGATCGCGCGAATGGACGTATTTAAACCTTTTTTTTTTTATTTAGTTATAATAACGGGAATATATTTTTTGGTAAATAATGATGTTATTATTACGTAAAGATACATAACACATTATTAGTATATCAAAAAATACTTACCGACAAGTGCCAATATAACAGTAAGTAGCGGCGCAGCGGGGAATGAAACTGTTACGTTGAACTCGAGCATTTGTAGCAAATCGACTGAAACAATAAAACCAATTAGTGCTAATTCTTCGCGTATAATTGCACTAGTTTACGGAAATATCTCCCTGGACAATATTGATCATGTCTATCAAACGGATTTAAGATAATTGTTATAATAAATATGCAAAAAACAGTGCAGCGTGATACACCATTAGTAGAGACGAGAACAACGAGCTTAAAATTTATAAACGTAGTTAATTTTTTTTATGAAAAGTGTGTTTAAAAAAGTTTCACTTAAACTCTTTCTGGGACTGACCTATCAATATACTCAGCTTTGTTACAACACCAACATTATTTTTGCAAAAAGCATACAACTTTGTGTTATGTACTTTTTGTGTCGTTTATTGATATCTCTAAACCTATATATAAAAGAGAATTGAGTAGCTTTAACATGCGATACGGTACAGATGGCTTGACAGTAAATAATATTGATTAAACAAAACAATTAACATCACTAATACCCTACTAACGTAAACTAATAATAGCATTCAAACCAAATTAAGAACACAGGCTGGGTTTTTTATAAATCTGTCAATTTAAAAAAAAATGCTTGTGCGCTTATATTGACAACCACAGTATTGAGATGCTTTCCATTTATGTTCATCTCTAGCCATAAGCCGCTCTTATACCGGCCCCTGGAGGCTGCGCGCGCGGCGACACAGCACGTTAACGCGATCAAACGGCTGCGGTATGAATTTTTCATGTGCCACGAGAAGTAATGGTGTCGCTCGAGACGGCGGATCATTCTTTACGAGCAGACAACGGAAACCTTTAAAAATATACGTTTTATCTACTGTGGCGTGTATGCGGAAGTTCAGTTTCAGAATTGATCACTTTTCGTTAGAGCGTGTCACCACCCTGTATTCCTAAATTACTGCCACCTCATTCATTGATCTATTTTAGTTACTAATGTAGTTCTTTCCAGTCTTTGTCGAAAGTTAACTTGATAATTTAAAATAAAGTGACAAAAGACACTAGCCACGATGAATAGCTATATAAAAGTAATATTAATTAGTAGTCTCACTGCTCTTATTTTAAAACGAAAATGCACCGAGTAATAAATAAATGCTTTATAGACATATAATATTTCAATTTACTTGAATTTACAGGGCATAAACGTGTATCTACAAGTAGATTTTACTCTAAACAAAGCGATATTTTAAATCGTTTCAGAATTAGTGACGATATAGCGACAAAAATGAAGCATACTTTTCTATAAAGTTCAATATCTACTTACAACTGACCCGCGAAAAACCCAAAACCAACCAAACAGGATAGACTAACCCGCTTCAGTTTCAGTGAGAATATATGGGTAATAAGATAAAGGTTTTATCGTCTTTTCGTTAACATAGTTCCCGTGTGCTCTCAGTTCGCCGAGGCTTTGTGGACGCTTGTTTGCTTAACGTAGGATAATCTCAGTATGTACACATATCGTATCGAATATAGGTGTCCTCATTTTTCGCATCTTTGATGTCACCTAACTGAATATAAAAGTTGATGTAGCGCAAAATGTATAAAAATCATTCATATACAAACTAAACCTAGAACTACAATCATTTTAAAAAGCGTTATTAAAAATTAATCGCCTTCAATAAAATTTTACAGTCATTTCTAACCATACATAAGTGACGTTTATTGTGAAACATGCAGAAATAATCTACTATTTTTAAGTCTACACTCGTTATTTGCGATAAATATTCGATTTCACTCAAGCTTTGTCCTATGATAACTATTTTTTAATTTAAATTCGTTACAGTTTTAAGTGTAATTTGATTTATTTACTTTTGTCTGAGAATATGTATCTTGTGTTTTTCTATATCAATGATCAAAACCTATAAAATGTTGTAAAACCATTTTTGGCCACATCGACGTAAGTATATACATAGAATGAAGTATGTTCCTATGTATGATGTTTTGTATAATCTTTAGCGGAATGTATAGCCTAAATGACGTGATGGGTTTTAATAAATGGGATATCGTTAAATTTGCCTTAATTGTGGGAGTACTAGGTTACATGACGACATAAATATGGGCCATAAACAAACAATAACAGTTCTTATGATCTTGTCGCGTGTCTTACATGGAAACATATTATTTTTTATATTTGTAGTTATTTCAACAACAGAGAATATTTTATACAGACAAAGTTTTATATTTTAAGTGAAAAATTATAAATTGTATCGTCATCATTCATCGTTCATCATGTGAAATTAATTTCGCCGCCACTTCCCCCGTTCCCGGTTCGCACTTTCTACGATTTACTGCGTCCCGGAATCATATTACCATGAAGTATTGGTAGCAAAAGCGTGCGCTGATATTAAAAATTGCACAATACCGATTCTCCTGCAACTATCTCCATATATACATTATAGTACATTCCTATAAAACTAGTACACGATCATTGACATTTGTAATAGTTCCATTTCATGAAAATAGCGAAGGTATTACACGAATGTTGAACAAATCACTTTCAATAGCTTGATACTTGATTTTATATAACGGTGGGCGTAGTTTATTAAACCGTACTTGAAACGAGGATCCACTCCTTGTTTCAAGGCGGAGAGTAGATGCCTACAGCTGCTTACCTTAATTAGGTAGAAATAGGAGATGTAATAGGAAAAATGAGCTCGAAGTGTTTTGTTTCACTAACCAATTTAGTTAAAAAATATTTTAAGTATTACCTCGCCATAATACCGGGTACCATAATAATACAATTAGTGTATTCCAATCTTTAATTGTAAATTACTACATAGAGAGATATGAAGACAATTCTGATAATATATTTGAAGACCTAAAGTCATTTTATATTAGCCTATATTCTGTGTGTGTGTGTGTGTGTGTGTGTGTGTGTGTATGTGTGTGTGTGTGTGTGTGTGTGTGTGTGTGTGTGTGTGTGTGTGTGTGTGTGTGTGTGTGTGTGTTTAGTACAATATAGAAGTACTCGGAAAAAAAAAACTAATCTAAATGATTATATAGATTGTATATTGTCTAAAGAAGAAATCAAAGAGCTTTTGAAAACGGCTAAGCTAAAATGTTTGAGACGTATAAAGTCATTAACTCTGCCTACTCCGTATGGGACCTGTTGTAAACATATAGAGGTACACACTAAATATCTTTTAGGTTAAATCTTATTACTAATGTCAGAATTTCAAGTTACCTTCGAATCCCTAACATGACGTAAGCTGCTTTTACAGCACTAGCAACTGAGGTACGATAAAAATTATATGTTAGCATCCTACTAAAACTAGTTTTTCTTTTATAGATTTAACCTTCTCGGCCAACATTTTAGCTGAACTTTTAAAATTTTACGCTTAATATTAAAAATCTATATAAAATCAAATATTATTTAATAATTACTATTTTAAGAACTTATGTACATTAAAATCTCATTGCCGAGTTATATACAAATCAGAGATTGGTGTGAATGAAAAAAAAATCTTTATATAAGTGAGAAAACACTTGTACTACCTTCCACAAGTTTTTTAGATATAAAATATCTGTGGAAGTCATACATTTGATTTTTTTTTTGTAAAGATGAATTTAAAATTCCTCGAATACCAATAATCACCAGTATCAATAACATAAAAATAACTGATTATTAAAAGCCTATGTCCATACATACATTCTTCTTTTATTTCATTCCAGAACCAGCTTGAAAGCAGAAGACTCGGTATTTGTTCATGTTTTCAATTTAACTTGAAATTAATCACATCTCTCCGACATATAGAAGGAACAGAATCTATCTGATAACGATAGCTTAGTCTAGACTTCCCACGACATGCTTCAGTTACACAGTGTTTTAAAAAATATAACAAACATTTTTTATTATATCATTATTATGAATGGCTGAGACAACAATGGGTGTTTTACAGTTTATTTTTTATTTTTAAGAGGTCATATATAATATTACTTATACCTTATACAGCAAAAACCTAACAGGTTTTCTCCGAATGGGAGTCAAACAACGGACGGGACGATAGAACTCCAGACTTTATTGACGTCATCACATCATTATTATCTGCTTATTTTCCTTCTCGCCTGATACCCCGTAATACCCCATTGCTATGGAAAATTACACTCAATTTGAGAGCGAAATAATTGGACGAATTACTTCGTAAATCGCCTTATACAACGAAAAATCTGCAAATTAGATACTTAAAGGATTTTCGAAACCTACGCGAGCTTAAATATTATCTGCAAGAAAATCAACTTTGTTATTAGAAATCACTTCAAAGAAATAATTTTGTCTATTTTTATTTGTGTTTAAAATACCTATGTTTAGTACACATTATTAATATTAATAAGGTGTTACATACAAACTTTATTAACAGACATATATGTAGAAAATCAAAACGAAGTTTTAAACTAAAAAAAATCGTGTCAATAATGTGCTGGTGCCTTAAATTTTGAGAAACTCTTTCTCTGAAAATAACTGATGATAAGTTCAATACCATCATAAATTAAATAAAAAGATCCATAAAGATCAGATAATACCACCCCGTCAATAGCACCCCGGATATGATAGGTAATTTATTAATAGTTAAAATACCTCTTACAACACAAAAAAAAAAACATGAAAATATTTGTTTCTATTAGTCTGATAATTATTTGTGTATGTCTGTCAGTTCATATTTGAGTACGCATAGTACAAGTTCTGCTTAGTTAAAACTAGTTGGAATGTAAAATAATATAAAAAATAAACTTTAAATGTAGGTAAGGCAATGTGTTTAATATACATATAGTCATACATTGATGATTTGTATGCAATATATAGATGCAAATGTGCCATGTTGAAACCGGCAGTTGTAAGTTTATCAGGGCTCGTTGTGAGCTTGCGAAGCAATTTGCCCGCCGAAGCGCAGTGAAGCCGTGCAATCTAACCAAAGTAACTCCGTTTGAAATATCGATACTAAGCGACATTTACTACATGTTACATATATATGCATGTAACGAATACCATCAAGGAACGTTCATTATAAATAATAAATGCATTGCAA